ACGGTGACCAGCAACGTATACAGTACTCCAGATACAGTACACCGATGCCCTGCTGAACTGCAGCATAGCCCTCCCCACCATTGCATGCAATTCCCCTCGTAATAAACCTTAACATTAACATAGAAACACAGAATTTAGGAGCAGAGGTAGGCCATCTGGTCCTTCAAGCCTACTCTCCCATTGAACATGATCATGGCTAATTATCCAACTCTGTACCCAGTTCCTGCTTTCTCCCCATATTCTTTGATCCCATTAGTCCCAAGAACTACATCTACATATTTCTTAAAAGTCTGCAATGCTTTGGTCTCAGCAGTTTCCTGCGACATAGAATTCCACAGGTTCATTGTTCATCTCCATCCTAAAAGTCCTAGCCAATATCCTTAGACTTAATTCTAGACTTCCCAGTCAATAAAAACATCCTTCCTACATCTACCCTGTGTATTCCTGTTATAATTCTATAAGTTTCCATGAGATGCCCCCTCAACTTGTTGTTTTCTCTCTGCCGTCCTTTTTAGATAGTGGGGTTACATTCGCCAACTTCCAATCCATGGGAATTGTTCCAGAGTCTATAGAATTTTAGAAGATAACCGCAAGCATATCTTCCATTTCCAGGGTCACTCATCTTAGTAGTTTGGTATGAAGGTTAACAGATGCTGGGGATTTATCTGCCTTTACTCCCAGTAATGTCCCCAACAATATTTTCCTACTAATATTAATTTCTTTCCATTCCTCCTTCCCATTCGTTCCTGTGTTCTCCAATTTGTTTGGGATGCTATTTATGTCTTTTTTTTGTGAAGTCAGAACTAAAATATGTATTTAATTGGTCTGCCATCTCTTTGTTCCCTATTATAAATTCTTCTGTTTCTGACTGTAGGGCATCTTTTTTGTCTTTACTAATCTTTTTCTTTCACATTTCTATAGGAACTTTAGTATCAGTTTTTATGTTCCTTACAAGCTCAATCTCTTGCTCTATTTTCATCTTCTTAATCAGTCTCTTTGTCTTCCTTTGCTGGAATCTAGACTGTTCCCAATCCTCAGGCCTGTTAACTTTTATAGCCAACTTGTCTGCCTCTTCCCTGGATTTAATACTTTCCCTAATTTCCTTTTCAGCCATGGTCTGACCATGTTTCCCATTTTGTTTTTAAGTCAGACTGGGATGAATAACTTTTGCAATTCATCCATGTGCTTTTTAAATGTATGCCATTGCCTATCGACCGTCATCCTTTTAAATTACGGTGCACAATTTGTCATAGCTAGCTTATGCCTCATACTCCATCATAATTTCCTTTATATAAAGTCAGGATCCTGGTCTCAGAAACAACTACTTCACTCTCCATCTTATTGAAGAATTCTCTCTTGTTGTGGTCACTCTTCCCTAAAGGCCCACACACACAACTAGACAATCAATTATTCCTTCCTCATTCCACAATACCCCAACAAGGATGGACTTTTCTTTAGTTGGTTCCTCAATGCATTGATTCACAAAACTTCTGTATATACCCTCTAAGAATTCCTCATCTATATATTGCTACTGATTTGATTTGCCAAATCTAAATGCATAATTACAGCCGTACCTTTACTTTTTGATCTTAAATTTCCTTTTTAATGACCTCCTCAATACCACTACTGTATACATTCCCTACTATTGTTTTCTGCCCCTTGGTGTTTCTAAGTTCATTATATACAGATTCTAGTTGACCAGAACTAACATCCTTCCTCATAATTGCACTAATGTCCGTTTTTTTAAAATCAGCAGTGCTACCCCAACTCCTTTCCCTTTCGTCTGACCTTTTTAAAAATTGAAAACCCCTGGATATTCATTTCCCATTTCAGGTCACCCTGCAACCACATCCCTGTAAATCCCTACTATTTCATAGCTGTTTAGATCCATTTGCACAGCTAATTCATCTATGTTATTGCAAACACTCCTTGCATTCAGGCTCAAGTCTTTTTAGCATTATTAGTCCTGTTCATGTGGCCCTAATCAATTCTAGCCCTTGAATTCTCTGCCTATCACCTTTCTTATTTCCCATTCTGGTTTTTTGTTTTCATCCTTATTTCCTTGTCATCTGACTGCCTACAGGTTCCCAGCCCCCTGCCATGTTAGTTTAAATCCTCTCTGGCTGAACTTGCAAATACATTCCCTAGGACATCAGTTCTGGTTCTGTCCAGGTGCAGAACTGCTGCCTCAATTATAAGTAATCGAATATTGCCTGTACTTGGACATTAAAGTTATAATGAATCAATGTCTCATTGCACTTGCGGTTTAATTTGTCATTTTCCCATATCTTCAAGTTTAAACTTATTTCTGTCAGCATTTTAAGAGCCATGTATGTTTTTCATTTGAAACAGGTAGACAGTTTTTGTCATTTCTCTTGGTTGGCATACACCTGAAAGAATACAGAATACACACAAATGCCTATTGATGGTGGAAGTGAACTCCCCTGAAAAAAAAGAGCTCAATTAACAACTTTAAATCTGAGATTGACTATTTATTGTTATTACCTTATGGTTTTATAGTCTAACAAAGGCATAAAAGGATATGCCAAAACAGGTCAATGAGTTAAGATACAGATTAGAGATAAACGAATTGAGGGGTTTGAACAGGGTCGAGGAGCTGAATAGCATACCCTGTCTGATTTTCTTTCTAAATTTGGTTTTTTTTAAAATTAACTTTCTTATACTTGTGCAGAATGAAATTTCAGTTAGTAACCCACTCAAGAACTGGGGACTGCCAAGTCAACTATCATTAGTGATGTCCTAAATGGTTTAATAAATACCAGTGCTGTCTTAGGTGGAATAAATAATATGAAAATAAAATAAGTCGAACCATTACATAAGTCAAACATAGTGCTCATCCTGTTCCTTAATAACATTTTAAATCTGCATTCCAAAAAAGGAAGGGAAATAGTTACTGGGTTTTTGAGGCACACCACCCCTTAATTATTATTTTTATCCCATTATTATCTACTCGGGTGGTGATCCTTCGTCATAATGTTAAATGTGAACTAGCTTTAGCAGTACAAAAATTAACTGATTACATCTAGGCGCCAAGTACACCAAGAGAAAACTGTCCAAAATGTTTGATCTGATTAACACGTGTGTTCCTATAGTGAACTGCTAAAAACGGGGTGTCCAAACGTAATTCTTTGAAATTAAGTAAAACTCATGATAATACCGATCCCATACCCTACTTTATTTCCAAACTGGTAATTGCGTGTGCAGTGCCGTGAGTCTTCAAATAATGCAAGTTAATATCTTCCAAGTACAAATAATCTCCTTATTTTAATATAGCTGCAACTTGTCTTAAAGATTGATATAATTCCATCAGACAACTTTGTGGTAAGTTCAGAAATGTTTGTAACTAAAGACCCTTCTGCTTTTGGGCGAGAAATATCTATATGATAAGCTAGGATGATGATCCTTTAAGAATTAGGTTTCTCTGCAAGATGATTTCTTGTAAAAACAATTTTTTCTTTTCCCCAGTAACTGATATTGTGACTAAGCAGCCTGGGAAATAAACAATAGTAAATCAAATGGCATAAACAAGAAGTTAATTACAAGGGAGAGTAGATTCCTGTGTATGGTTATGTTTTCAAGCAGTTTAGTTTAGAACAAGCCTACTTTCTTTAAAGCAGAACTCAGTTGAAATCCCATGTGCTAGGTGAAAAGATTTAAAACCTTTGATATTTGAAGGGCTGTACAGAGAGCTTAATTTCTGAGCTAGCCAAGATAAGGGAGAAGGGAAGAGTTGAAAAGTGCAAGTGTTCTGAGTTAAGGAACATTAGAACCATGAGAGTTTTGTCACAAGATAGCTAGCATCACAAGAATCTAGCAGCACTTAAGAGGCTTGTGACACTTATGATGAACCATGAGTTTGCAATCATGAGGCATTAGGAGATTTGAAGGGACAACCTTAAAGCAACTAAGAAGACAACCTAAGAAATTTCAACCCTTAGAAGAATTTTTGAAATGTTTCTCAGACCAAATGGGTTAATCTTCCTCTTTCTGATAACTATCTAAGTGTTTTTGGGAGGACGCAAATCAAATTTGAGAAGAAGGAAATTTGAGCTAATAAATTTGATTTAGAATAAGCAAATGTACTCACTACCTTTAATATCTTTGAGAATATCAAAGGTGGCACAGTAGTTATCACTGCGTCAGAGACCCAGGTTTGAATCCAACCTTGGGCAACTGTCTGTGTGGAGTTTGCACATTCTCCCTGTGTCTGTGTGGGTTTCTTCATGGTGCTCCAGTTTCTTTCCACAGTCCAAGTATGTACAGATTAGGTGGATTGGCCATGCTAGAAATTGCCCCATAGTGTTCAGGGATATGCTAGGTGGGTTAGCATTTGGGGTTACAGGGATGGTGTACAAGGTTGAGGGAATGTGGGTCAGGGTGGGGTGCTCTTTAGAGGGTCAGTGCAGAGTTGATGGGCGGAATGGCCTCTTTTCTGCACTGTAGGCATTCAATGATTCTATGACATCCTTGGAGTGTTTTCTTTGCCCTTCTGGTAATTGCTTGCAGTGATGATGCTCTCAGAGTAGAGGCCATATTTTGGCTGTCTTCTGTCAAGCATGCTGTGGTATAGTTCACCCAATGCACCAAATTGACCTTTAATGTTGGGGATGTTGGCCTGACAGAGATTACTAACACTGGAGCACCTTTTCACTTTGGGATTTGCAGGATTTTGTGGAGGAATTGCTGTTGAAACTTTTCTGTGAATTTGAGCTCTCTGATATACATTGTCCATGTCGCCAACACATACAAAAGAACAGATGACATTGTTCCCTGTAGATCACGTGCTTGCTCTCATAAAAATGCAATACCCCACTGACTCATGGGAATCTACTGCTCTACGGCCCAAACTGAAGCAGAAGCAACTGCAAAGGTATCAACCATCTCAGACAGGCTCAGATGGAGACCAAGTGTAAACAGTAAGATCATGTGAAAATCTGAGCATCCCACTTGTTTGCCACATCAAACATCACTTGCCTCACCTGCAACAGGGTGTGTGAATCCAGCACTGGGCAATTCAGTTTGGAGTTAGCACCTACAACATCGAAGTGGAAGGAAGTCATCCTTGGTCCCTAAGAACTGCGTAAGAAAAAGATTATTTTTAACATAACTACTTAATATTGAGTGCACTTATTCATGTTCATGTTCTTTGATTTTTGTGCAGAAAAATTCTTCTGTTTCAAACAATAAGCTTTAAAGCTTAAAGGTTTTAAAGGAGCAATTTAGCAAATCCTTTATTTCCTTTTCCTTTTTCATATTTCATATTTCATGACTTGTTTAAGGTCAAACATGAAATAAGCACGACTAGAATTGCAACTCAAAAATTATCAACTCATCTGTACACACTTCTATCTTAAGTTCATGCGTAATCAACAGTCAAAGAGTATAACATCTGATTGTGATTATTTGTAACAGTCTTTGGGACGACCGTCCAATCAATTTGTTTGATACTGACAACTTCAAATTTCAATGACAAAGCTGTTTGAATCTTGCAAAATGCTGACAATCCTATGGGTTAAAATATAATCATCAGCTTAAAAAATTGATGATTTGCTTACTTGTTTCCAATCTCTGTACGTGCCATAGTTGGAAAGATAAGCAGATTGATAATCAACCATGTGTAAATCACACCATGCATGCTCCTTCTGATGTAAACTGGTACGTGTAAAGGGGTTAGTATGTTCACATATAAGGTCCTCCAGCAGCATGAGGAGCAAGCAGATCATGGCGCAGCTAATTTGATGCCATGCTGCTATTTTGGATTTTCACAGTTCATCCTACATCCTTGCTTAACCTCAAACAGCTGAACCGAACAATGGCTGAGGCTCATAATGTAGTTGGTAGGATATGGCATTTGAGAATACTTTTACTGCTATTGATTAATTTTGTGAATGAACTACACTCTTTGTACTGTGCCTAGGTCATTGGAGCTGTACTCTTGGCATTACTTCTGCAGATATTTATCTACCTTCCTGTCATGTGTCTGGGCCTCTTGTACCCTCAAGCAGGAAAACAGCTCTTATATTGAAGCTAGACATCATTTTATGACAATAATATTGTACAATAATTAAACTCATACAATGAACTAATTTAACTGTTGAAAATTAAAAGAAAATCAAATTCCTTCTAAGCAGTTTCCTGTCAGGTTGGAACACCTTCGTGGGGTACTGAAGGCTGTTTCACAGTGTTGCATCTGGCACATGTAATAATGTAGTCTAGAAGAATCTATGTCTGTAATAGCCTACAAATATATGTTCTGTGCTCAACTTATTATAGCTTGAAAAACATACCAATTAGGATAGGTCCAATAAATTTGTTTGAGCACTAGAGACTCATTGTTCATTTAAAATAGGCCATGCAAGACATATCCTTCCAATTATGAGATAGTAGGAACTGCCGATGCTGGAGTCTGAGATAACAAGGTATGGAGCTGGAGGAACGCAGCAGGCCAGGCAGCATCAGAAGAGCAGGAAAGCTGACGTTTCGGGTCTGGACCCTTCTTCAGAATGATGTTTCCTTTATTATAATTTGGCGTTACTTTTTTGACTCCTTACAAGCAGTTGCTAGATTTATTTCCATCTATTTCATCATTTCATTACTGCTTTGTTGATTCGAACCAATTAAAGAGTGTTGATAGCGTCTCAAGGTTTTGCATTATCCGTTTGCCTGGAGCTGGTTTAGTATGCTTCAACCTGGTGCAATATGATTCCCCAGTTAGTCCGCAGTTAAAGAGCAACCAGTTTCTGCTCAGGTAACATTATCCTAATTTGCATAAAATCATTACTTTGTTGGTATGTTTCCATCTGGCCCGGAGCTCATCTGATCTGTCCACTTTTCTCTTTTTCAGCTTTTTTTCTCAATGTTTCCGGTTAGTAAGATTCATCCCAATTTCTTCAAACGGCTTCGGTGGAAGGCATCTCCCGGGCCAGCGTGGCAGTCTCGTCTCGGTTTGGAGGTCTTCTCCAGCATTGGCTTCCAGGTATTCCAGCGTCCCAACAGACGGTCATGTCCAGGAGTGACCGTCTCAGCCTGGCATAGCAGTGTTCTTCTATGGAGGCTTCCAGTGGCCCGGCATGGTGGTCTCATCCCGGCTGCGTCTTCCAGGTATTCCATCGTTCCTTAATCGGCTTTCCCCAAGCTCAGGAGCTGTTGCCTGAATTACGAAGAACTTTGTCTTAATTTTGAGACAACAAGGTGCAGGGCTGGACGAACACAGCAGGCCAAGCAGCATCATAGGAGCAGAAAGGCTGACGTTTCGGGCCGAGACCCTTCATCAGAAAAATAGTATGTTTGACTCCTGTTATTAATGTACGTGCCGTGGTAGGGCAGCTTATAAAACTTCTCACTGTATTTTTCATGTTGAAAAAAATTCTATTTTACTGTCTATTTTAACATTAAATGTAAGATGGGTGTGGTTGCATCTTAAGTGATTTGAACAGTACCTGTCCATGGGTGTTTCCAGGGTCAAATAATTATACCTTCGGATATTTAAAGGTTTAAAGGGGCTGAAACTGGCCTATGCTAGTAAATTGGAACAAAACCAAAGTTGCTGGAAAAGCTCAGCAGGTCTGGCAGCATCTGTGAAGGAGAAAACAGAGTTAACGTTTCGGGTCCGGTGACCCTTCCTCAGAACTAGTAAATTGGAAGCCTGGGTATTCACTATCCGGGCTATTACAACCCCCTTCCATGGTGCTTTCGTTATTCCAAAGATGAAAAGGGTGAATGAATGGCTACTAGATAATCGTTGTCACTCATCCTTTTGAAAACACAAGCCACAACACCTAAGTACTAAATAACAAGGCACAGAGGTAAAAGAAATCCTGTGCTGATTCTCAATATTAAACTGATCCATCACCGACAATCAATGGCTTCCCAGTGACTGTTGTTTAGTTGCAATACAGCCAAGATATATATTCATCGTTTTGAAGACACTTAAGGAAAAATTTAGTTAAAACTTGATTTATCTTAACTATATTAAATAATTTGCCTTTAATCAGCAAGATACATTTCATGCAATGCAAAGAAAAATATAAATAAGAGTAAAGATGCTATGTCATCGTGTAAACATGTGGGGAGGTAGTTAAAAATTTTATCAAATAGGTACGTTTTGAGAAGGAGACGAAGAGGCAGCATGGTAAAGGCAGGGAATTTTCAAAGCATTTCGAAAGGAAAAATATCAAACATTGTGTACTATTTTTACACTTCCAGTTGACCTTGATATCTGCATTTAATTGGCCTCAGAAAGGCACAACAATTAGACACTGTGGCCTTAAAGGGTATACGCTCCACCCAAGCAGCTGAATATATTGTGCATTCAATGTTATATCTTATGAAGCAAAGTATCTCCCAAAGGATCTTCCATAGCAATGCCATAAAAGAAGCTTCCCATTAAAATTTCAGACGTTGTAGATTCCAGTACATATTACCATCTGACAGACTTTGTAAATTACAGTAGTAGATTCCAAATATCCTTAATCTACTTTTACTGTAGATCATGGCACAGCAGCTGACACTGCATTCAAAATAACCCAATTTTCTGAGTGCCAAAATGCATGTTTAGGTGGCAAAGATGTCAAATCCCACCACTATTTTCAGCTCATAAATGCATATTTAGGACTGCACTCATTGGGAGGCAGCCTTAATTTTTCAACTCAGAAATACTTGTAGAGGATTATACCTTTTTCATTAATTGAGATCAAGGAGGTAACATGGGCCATGATGCAAAGAAGATGCGCAAAAGTCTTAGTCCACACAGGGTAGACCGCACATGACAGGAATGGGTCCACCCACAAAATGAATGAAGTATAAAGCTGGCTTTAAGCTTTATAATATTTGTGAACTGATCAAATAACTGTGCTGCAGCTTGTGTCTTATTTGAAAAACCATTGTGAGAATTATTTTGGAAGAAAGAACCCATTCAAAAGAGGGTGCACAAGACCAAATGTGCAATGATAAGGGAGAACACCTGCGACCTGATCTTGAGACCATAAATGGGAATGGGTCCTCAAAAATTATCAGAATGGTTCCATTATCACCAGAAATGTCATGCATATGTATACTTACACATTGTGGGCCAAATCAAACTCTGAGCCCACTAAAGATTTCAGAATAACCGCTAATTGGTGCAGCCACTTTATAAAACAAAGATATCTAGCATTGCTCAGAGGCTGTCAAAAAGACATTGATGCCCAAATCTCCAGCAATTCATTATCAGACAGCTGCAAAATGTAAGTAACAATTATGTCACATCAGCAACATATATTTTGATATGGCCCGCAACTGAACTGTAGAGTGGAAAGGTTTTGAGAACAGCCTAAGTGAAAACTAATCTACATTAGATCTGAAGGTCATGAATTTAATGGATTTTAAAACGTTATCATTGTAGTTTAAACAATTTGTTGAGAATTATTTAATTAAATAAGACATGACACGCTGATTTCATATGAATTACTGGTGTTTTGCTTTTTAATCACATTCCAAAATGGAGACCACTTACACCAGTAATACTGGTTTACATTTTATACTTAGCATATAAATGAAGACTTGTTTTTGAAAGGATATTTCAAAGCTGTAAAGTTCAAATTATAAACTACAATCTATAGTAACAACAAATTTTTAACTTGCTTTTACAAAATCAGTTCACCCAAAACTCTACGTTAAGTGTCATCTTGGAATTGATAAATCATACCTAGATATGAGAGTTCTGATTTTTCAGTACACAACAGACATGCAACTCCCTGTCTGATTAATAACTGCAAGACAAAAAGCTGATTACTCAGCAGGAAGCAACTAACCCGCCTACAAATTAATTAGTGTGATTGACTAATACCTATTACATTACTGGTGGAAACAAACCCATTACACACAGAACAATCTTAGAATCGTACAAAAAAAAGGAGACAACACTGCACATGGTATCTTTGAATGAGGTACTCAATCAGTTCCACTCTCCTCATCTCCCTCCACAGCTCTGGAAATTTCTGAAAGTTGCTTTACCACCACTTTTTCAGGCAGTGCATTCCAGAATAATGAAATAAAGTGATAGTAAAACATACTATATGCAGAAAACTGAAAACTGT